TGATGCTGGAAAAGATTGAAGATAGGAAGAGAAGCTGGTGACAGAGGATGAAATGGTATAATGGCATCACAGATTCAATGGACATCAGTTTGAGCAAACTCCAGGAGACAGTGAAGGACAGGGAAGGCTGGCATGCTGCAGTCCATGGGGTTTCAAAGAGTTGGACACAACTGAATGACTGAACAATATATATTAATAAAATAGATAATCAACAAGGACCTATTGTATACCACAGGGAAGGCTACTCAATACTCTGTAATAACCTAAATGGGAAAAGAATCTGAAAAAGAATCTGTATAGCTAAATCACTTTGCTATACATCTGAAACTAACACAACACTGTAAATCAACTATTCCTCATTTAAAATTTTTTAATGTATTTTAAAAATTTTAAAAGGGCAGCCATCATGCACTTCACCAGTTTGCTGCCATCAGAGAATATATTGAGCTGCAAAAGCTTCTGATGTCTCAAAAGAAAGCCAACGTCCAAATTTTTATGTAAATTCTTTTGATTTCTAAATATCGGTCACTTAAATATTTTTAATTTGAAATTCAAATGTCCTGGGAATCAAAACATTTCTCCTAGTTTGATGAGGCCTATATGCCAACACTTTGCAAACAAAGTGTTAAATGTTAGTGAAATTTGAGTTTCAATTTAGTCAAATTTCCTTTTTTTCCAAGTGAGGAAGCAGAGTACAATGTCATACGAGCAGATCATGTCTTGCCCAAGCCACATAGTTGAGAAACAGATATTCAGTGCAATTATTCATGTCTGCCATGTGCTTCTTTTTAATAATGAGATTGGCTCTATTATTATCACCATTTAGCTAATTAACAGCAGAGTCATCTGTTGGATCATAAGAAATAGAGGAAAGAAATAGAAGAAAGACTAGAGATCTCTTCAAGAAAATTAGAGATACTAAGGGAACATTTCATGCAAAGATGGGCTCAATAAAGGACAGAAATGGTATGGACCTAACAGAAGCAGAAGATATTAAGAAGAGGTGGCAAGCATACATAGAAGAACTATACAAAAAGATCTTCATGACCCAGATGATCACGATGGTGTGATCACTCACCTAGAGCCAGACATCCTGGAATGTGAAGTCAAGTGGGCCTTAGGAAGCATCACTATGAACAAAGCTAGTGGAGGTGATGGAATTCCAGTTGAGCTACTTCAAATCCTAAAAGATGATACTGTGAAAGTGCTGCATTCAATATGCTATCAAATTTGGAAAACTCAGCAGTGGCCACAGGACTGGAAAAAGTCAGTTTTCATTCCAATCCCTAAGAAAGGCAATGCCAAAGAATGTTCAAACTACCGCACAACTACACTCATCTCACATACTAGCAAAGTAATGTTCAAAATTCTCCAAGTCAGGCTTCAACAATATGTGAACCAAGCACTTCCAGGTGTTCAAGCTGGATTTAGAAAAGGCAGAGGAACCAGAGATCAAACTGTAACATCTGTTGAATAATCGTAAAAGCAAGAGAGTTCCAGAAAAACATCTATTTCTGTTTTATTGACTATGCCAAAGCCTTTGACTGTGTGGATCACAATAAACTGTGGAAAATTCTGAAAGAGATAGGAATACCAGACCACCTGACCTGCCTCTTGAGAAATCTGTATGCAGATCAGGAAGCAACAGTTAGAACTGGACATGGAACAACAGACTGTTTTCAAATAGGAAAATGAGTACATCAAGGCTGTATATTGTCACTGTGCTAATTTAATGTATATGCAGAGTACATCATGAGAAATGCTGGGGCGGATGAAGCACAAGCTGGAATCAAGATTGCCGGGAGAAATATCAATAACCTCAGATATGCAGATGACACCACCCTTATGGCAGAAAGTGAAGAAGAACTAAAGAGCCTCTTGATGAAAGTGAAAGAGGAGAGTGAAAAAGTTGGCTTAAAACTCAACATTCAGAAAACTAAGATCATGGCATCTGGTCCCATCATTTCATGGCCACTAGATGGAGAAACAGTGGAAACAGTGGCAGACTTTATTTTGGGGGGCTCCAAAATCACTGCAGCTGGTGACTGCAGCCATGAAATAAAAAGACGCTTACTCCTTGGAAGAAAAGTTATGACCAACCTAGACAGCACATTAAAAAGCAGAAACATTACTTTGCCAACAAAGGTCCGTCTAATCAAGGCTATGGTTTTTCCAGTAGTCATGTAGGGATGTGAGAGTTGGACCATAAAGAAAGCTGAGCGCAGAACTGATGCTTTTGAACTGTGGTGTTGGAGAAGACTCTTGAGAGTCCTTTGGACTGCAAGGAGATCCAACCAGTCATCCTAAAGGAAATCAATACTGAGTGCTCATTGGAAGGACTGATGTTGAAGCTGAAACTCCAATACTTTGGCCACCTGATGTGAAAAGCTGATTCATCTGAAAAGACCCTGATGCTGGGAAAGATTGAAGGTAGGAGGATAAGGGGATGACACAGGATGAGATGGTTGGATGGCATCACCAACTGAATGAACATGAGTTTGAATAAACTCTAGGAGTTGGTGAGATGGACGGGGAGGCCTGGTGTGCTATAGTCCCTGGGGTTGCAAAGAGTCAGACACAACTGAGTGACTGAACTAAACTGAACTGTTGGATCATAGGAAAAGCAACAGAATTCCAGAAAATCATCTACTTCATTGACTATGCTAAAGTCTTTTTTCTGTGTGGATCACAACAAACTGTCAGAAATTCTTAAAGAAATGGGAATATCAGACCACCTTACCTGCCTCTTAAGAAACTTGTATGCAGGTCAGGAAGCAACAGTTAGAAGCAGACATGGAACAATGAACTCGTTCAAAATTGGGAAAGGAGTGTCATGGCTATATGTTGTCACCCTGCTTATTAAACTTATATGCATATTACATCATACAAAATACCAGGCTGGACAAAGCTCAAGCTGGAACCAAGATTGATGGGAGAAATATCAATAACCTCAGATATGCAGATGATACCACCCTACTGGCAGAAAGTAAAGAGGAACTAATGAAAAAGTTGTGGTACATATACACATTGGAATATTATTCAGCCATAAAGAAGAATGCATTTGAGTCCATTCAATGAGGTGGATGAACCTAGAACCTATTATACAGACTGAAGTAAGTCAGAAAGAGAAAGAGAAATATCATATTCTAACACATATATATGGAATCTAAAAAAATGGTAGTGAAGAATTCATTTACAAGACAGACATAGAGAATAGAAATATGGACATGGGGAGAGGGGAGGAGAGGGTGAAATGCATGGAAAGAGTAACATGGAAACTTACATTACCATATGCAAAATAGACAGCCAACGGGAATTTGCTGTATGACTGAGGAAACTCAAATAGGGGCTCTGAATAAACCTGGGACTTCTCTGTAGCTCAAACGGTAAAGAATCTGCCTGTGATGCAGGAGACCAGGATTTGATCCCTCGGTTGGAAAGTTCCTCTGGAGAAGGGAATGGCAATCCACTCCTGTATTCTTGCCTGGAGAATTCCATGAACAGAGAAGCCTGGTGGGCTACAGTCCATGGGGTTGCAAAGAGTCGGACATGACTGAGCAGCTAACACACACACACACCCCCAACTCAGAGGGGTGGGATGGGGAGTGAGATGGGAGAGAGGTTCAAAAGGGAGTGGATATATGTATACCTATGGCTGATTCATGTTGAGGTTTGACAGACACAACAAAATTCAGTAAAGCAATTATCCTTCAATTAAAAAATAAATAAATTTTTTAAAAAATAAAGAGCCCCTTGCTGAGGGTGAAAGAGGAGAGTTGGCTCTTTCTCTTTTTAAGCCAAAATGTTGGCTTAAAACTCAACATTCAAAAAACTAAGATCATGGCATCAAGTACTATCACTTAATGGCAAATACATGAGGAAAAACTTAAAACAGTGAGACTTTATTTTCTTGGACTCCAAAGCAACTGCAGCTGGTGACTGCAGCCATGAAATTAAAAGACGCCTACTCCTTGAAAGAGCTACTATTAACCTAGAAAGCATATTAAAAAGTGGAGACATCACTTTGCCAACAAAGGCCCATATAGTCAAAGCTGTGGTTCTTCCAGTAGTCACATATGGATGTGAGGGCTGGACCATAAAGAAGGCTGAGTGCTGAAGAATTGATGGTTTTGAACTGTGGTGTTGGAGTAGACTTTTGAGAGTCTTTTGGACAGCAAGGTTATCAAACCAGTCAGACCTAAAGGCACTGAACCCTGAACATTCATAGGAAGGACTGATGCTGAAGCTCCAATACTTTGGCCACCTGATGGGAACAGCTGACTCACTGGTAAAGACTCTGACGCTGGGAAAGATTGAAGGCAGGAGGAGAAGGGGATGACAGAGGATGAGATGGTTAGATGGCATCGAGTGACTCAATGAACAAGAGTGCGAGCAAACTCCGGGAGACAGTAAAGAACAGGGAAACCTGGTGTCCTGCAGTCCATGGGGTTGCAAAAAGTCAGACACGACTGACCAACTTAGCAAAAACCACCGGACCTTCTGCTTCCCATTCCACCAGTGTGTTCGAAAGAACACTGCCAAGCTGTCAGTTTTCAGTTAATTTTTTTTTAAATCCTGCCTTCCTGCCTTAACTGTTCCAGAGTTTCCTTACTCGCTGTTTTAGGCTTGTTCCGAAAACTACCACAGAATAATGGCTAAGCATAAGTAAAATATGAAATGAAAATTTAAAAGAGCGAATTCTGTCACAAAACTACGGCCTTTTGGGCTCTGTTTTAAGGCAGATAGGAGGCACCGCTAAACAGAAAACCCAAGAGGAACTTGAACGGAAACAAGTCCTCCCAGCTGATGAGAACGTAGATGCTCGTTTTATGACTTGCGCCTTCCCGAGCTTTTCTAAACTGAGAGAGGAGAGAAGAACTGTAAAGAGGAAGCAAAGCCGGCGCGAACACGAAACCGAGCAGCGAGGGCGTAAAAGCGCCCTCCCGCGCGCCCGCCAGCGCCCAGTCCGGCGCCCGCCGGGGGCACGTGACACGGCCAAAATGGCTGACGGGGACGACGGCTGCCGGCCCGAGCAGGAGCCGGGGCCGGAGCCGGGAGAAGAGTTTGAGATCGTGGACCGGAGCCAGGTGCCGGGTCCCGGCGAACTGCGGAGGGCGGCGAAGTCGCGGGCGGCGACGGAAGGCTGGTCCGCACCCATCCTGACCCTGGCGCGGAAGGCCACAGGAACCTTGTCGGCCAGCTGCGGGAGCGCGCTGCGCGCGGCCGCGGGCCTGGGCGGCGCGGAAGGCGGCGCGGACGACGCGGCGCGCGCAGGTAGGCTCCGGCCGGGCGCGCTGCAGGAGCTTTCGGTCACACAGGTGGTTGTTTTGCCATAAGTGCTGGGCTGGCCAGACTGTGCAACTGACTCAGCTTGTTAGACAGGTTGTTAACACGCGTAACTACTCGTCGGTTTTCTTTACACCGTGTGTCCGAGTCACGATAAATACCTGGGCGTGGGTGGCCTGGGATTGGAGCAATTTCACTTCCTATGGTGTGCCCCAGACAGCTTTCTTACTCTCATTGGTGAACTTTATACTAAAAAATGGACGGGTTTAAGCTTAGTTAGTCCTTATTTATCTTTAAAGGACTTACTTAGGAAATGAAACTGTACTTTTCTCTGCTTTAAATCTCAAACTTCCATCCAGCTCACATCTCCAGTTGTTGATGGTGCATACCGATTCACCGTGGAGTCAGAGAACCAAGTGGAGTTTAGAGGGTGAGTGTTCCAGTTCAGCTCAGTCGCTCGGTCGTGTCGGAGTCTTTGCGACCCCGTGGACTGCAGCAGGCCAGGCCTCCCTGTCCATCACCAACTCCCAGTTTACTCAAACTCATGTCCATCGCGTCGGTAATGCCATCCAAACCTCTCATCCTCTGTCGTCCCCTTCTCCTCCCGCCTTCCATCTTTCCCAGCATCAGGGTCTTTTCCTATCAGTCGGTTCTTCACATCACGTGGCTGAAGTATTGGAGTTCCAGCTTCAGCATCAGTCCTTCCAATGAATATTCCGGACTGATTTCCTTTAGGATTGAATGGTTTGATCTCCTTGCAGTCCAAGGGACTCCCAAGAGTCTTCTCCAACACCACAGTTCAAAAGCATCAGTTCTTCGGTGCTCAGCTTTCTTTATAGTCCAACTCTCACATCCACATGTGACTACTGGGAAAACCATAGCCTTGACTAGACGGACCTTTGTCGGTAAACTAAGGTCTCTGCTTTTTAATGTGCTGTCTAGGTTGATCATAGCCTTCCTTCCAAGGAGTAAGTGTCTTTTAATTTCATGGCTGCAATCACCATCCAGTGATTTTGGAGCCACCAAAAATAAAGTCTCTCACTGTTTCCATTGTTTCCCCATCTATTTGCCATGAAGTAATGGGACTGGATGCCATGATCTTAGTTAAGCCAACTTTTTCACTCTCCTCTTTCACTTTCATCAAGAGGCTCTTTAGTGCTTCTTCACTTTCTGCCATAAGGGTGGTGTCATCTGCATATCTGAGGTTATTGATATTTCTCCCAGCAATCTTGATTCCAGCTTGTGATTCATCCACCCTGACATTTTGCATGATGTACTCTACATATAAGTTAACTAAGCAGGGTGACAATATACATCCTTGACGTACTCCTTTCCCAATTTGGAACCAGTCTGTTGTTCCATGTCCAGTTCTAACTGTTGCTTCTTGACCTGCATACAGATTTCTCAGGAGGCAGGTCAGGTGGTCTGGTGATATTCCCATCTCTTTTAAGAATTTTCCACAGTTTGTTGTGATCCACACAGTCAAAGGCTTTGGCGTAGTCAATAAAGCAAAAGTAGATGTTTTTCTGGAACTCTCTTGCTTTTACGATTATTCAACAGATGTTGGCAATTTGATCTTTGCTTCCTCTGCCTTTTCTAAATCCAGCTTGAACATCTGCAAGTGCTTGGTTCACATACTGTTAAAGCCTGACTTGGAGAATTTTGAGCATTACTTTACTAGTGTGTGAGATAAGTGCAATTGTGCAGTAGTTTGAACATTCTTTGGCATTGCCTTTCTTTGGGATTTGGATGAAAACTGACGTTTTCTAGTCCTGTGGCCACTGCTGAGTTTTCCAAATTTGCTAGCATATTGAATGCAGCACTTTCACAGTATCATCTTTTAGGATTTGAAATAGCTCACCTGGAATTCCATCACTTCCACTAGCTTTGCTCATAGTGATGCTTCCTAAGGCCACTTGACTTCACATTCCAGGATGTCTGGCTCTAGGTGAGTGATCACACCATCGTGATCATCTGGGTCATGAAGATCTTTTTGTATAGTTCTTCTATGTATGCTTGCCACCTCTTCTTAATATCTTCTGCTTCTGTTAGGTCCATACCATTTCTGTCCTTTATTGTGCTCATCTCTGCATGAAATGTTCCCTTAGTATCTCTAATTTTCTTGAAGAGATCTCTAGTCTTTCCCATTCTAATTCCAGGTGACCGCTACAACCAAGCTGTGTGATACAGGCAAGTCATCACATTTTCCAGTCTGTAAAATAGGAATTTTGTGATTCACAAAGTTCTTATAGCCCTCAATGATCTCTTATAGTCAACTCTTTTAAGCCTTTGTCATCTAGAATAGTTTCAGCACATGAGTAAGAATGGAAACATTAAATGATTGATAGAGTGTGACTTAGAAAGCCCTGTAAAGCCAAATATTTAGAGCTCTGCCAACCAATACAATAGCCACTACCCACATGTGATGTTTAACGGTTAAAAATTTAGTTCCTCAGTCACAAGAGCCACATTTTAAGTGCTCAGTAATCTACATGTAGCTAAGTGTCTACTGTATTGGATTGTGAACTGAGAACACTTCATCATAGTACTATGGGGCAGAGTTCACTAAAGACTGTGAAGTACTCTCTAAGAAGTCTTATAGTGTGCCTTTGAGGTTTCTTGATTCCATCCTATCCAATGTATATTTGATGTAGAAAGCACGGATAGTGAATTGTGATAGTTTCAATGGCTAAGAAAGACTGATAAAGTTTAAAATCTCACTTGTTTTGAAATAGGAAACAGTATTTCTCTGGCAATAGAAAGTAGGACTAGAAGGTAATGAAGGAACCTATTTAACTCAGGAATCTAGTTCCCACTAAATTGCCACCTTTAGACACCTTTTGACTGTATGCCCACCCACTGGTGTTCAGTCCAGAGAGTCAAGGCTCGAGGTCTTCTTACAGGCTTGTTAGTTAAGCAAATAATGTTAGCTGTTTGGTGAGGAAATGTGCCAATGCCTAGAACTGTGCCTAGCACAGAATAATATTTGTTGAACAAATATTTGAAAAATACATTTCTATTTATGGTAACGCTATAAATAATAACCAGCACTTATGTGCTTCCTAGGTGCCAGAAATTAGTCTTAAATCTGTACATACGTTAGTTCATTTCATCTTGACAGTAATCCTACGTGATAGCTGAACTGGCTTCATGATGTTCATGAAGTGCAGGCTTTAATCAGTATGATTGTGCCGGGCCAGACCCTCAGAAGTGCCCACAATAGAAACTCTTATCTTTAGATTTGTGTGAAGTGCAGTCTGATGGGACAGAGGACCAGGTGTGGGGCCTTGGAGCTGGGCTCCTGTGTGGTCCCGTCTCCCCCTGTCTCCATGGGACAGGGCCTCTGCCACCCTGGTCCCCTTGGACTTCCCTCGGGCTTCTCCCTGCCTGTCCCTGCCGTACTGCGTGACCATGCTGCCCCAGGGAGGGTTGCGATGTGCCGTTTGACTCTCAGGGCAGGGCCAGGTGTCCACTGGCCTGCCACAGGCTGGCAGCACCACAGCACATTAGGCAGGAAGTGGGCAGGGACTTCTCACCCACCCAACGGTATGGGGACCGCATCCCTGCAGGGAACTGCAGTCCCTTAGGGCCATGGGAAGGAGGGGTGGACTTCATGCCTCCACTCGTGTAGCCTGCCCCATGTGATAGGTACCATTATTATTCCTTGTTTATAAAGAGGGAGGCTGAATTAAAAAGTAAATTGACCAAGTTACTTAGAAATGGCAGAGCCGGAACTTGAACTAAGACAAGCTACCTCTCAAGCCAGTGCTTAGTTACATCACCTCAGTGCCTTGATGTTTTTAAATAATGTTGTGAGCAATATGCTGTAATATATACATATGTATTTTTTAATTAGTCAATTAAGTAAACAGCTGCCACTCAAATCTGGCAAAAATTGTTAGCATGGCTTACTGAGGGCAAAAGGGTGGGGAACAGCTGGTATGAGCTATGTGACCAGTTTCCCAATGGTAAGCCAGATTTGAAGTCATCAGATAGAGCAGGAGTGGGAATGGGAGAAAGGAACTGAACACCCGGTAGCATGCTCTGCAGAGGCCTCAGAAAAGCAGGTCAGAAGATCATGGTCACCACTCCAGCCAGGGCTGGCTCATTTCTTTTCCTTTGATCTGCTTATCTGCTTACAAAAGCAGTGAGGTCAGAGATTGTTCAGAGGGAACAGTGAAGGAGCAGAGACTGAATATGAGAAGCACTCTTGCCAGATAGTTTTTGTGGTGATCCAGGTGTAAGGAAGATGCTGTGGAATTTCATGAAATGACTTGTATTAAAATATTAGCCCACATGGGGTCTGGTAGCGCAGCTTGCCACAATGATTGCATTCTCTGTAGTTTTTTGGTTTGGGGGTATTCTTTTTCTAAAGGATGAATAGCAAAACTCACTGAAGAAGTCACTCTTTAATTTTAAAAGTATTTAGATACATATTTGCCATTAGGTAAGGCATTATACCTTTCTCTGTTGTCTTCCAGTGGCAAATTTTATTTTCCATGTGTGAGCTCCACTGCACAAAGTAATATGCCTCCTTCCAAAATGAAGTACAATGCCTTTTTCATTTCATATTGCTGAACTCCTTAAGTTAGCCATTGAGATGATAAGTGAAAATTAGGAAAGTGTAAAATGGTTTTCTTGTCAGTACAGTGTAATACCATATTGTATTATAAGATCTTTTGAGACACCAAAGGGCTAATCAAAAGTAAAACTCAAATTTATAAAGAATCTAGTTACTTCTCTTTAATTCAGAACCCAATAAAAAAAAATCTGTAGAGCCCACTCTCCTGAATATTTATTCTCTATACCAAAGGTTACAACAAACTGGCAGCCCTTTGAGATGTTTGCGCTGGTAGCTGCATTTTTTTCTCCTATCCTGCACAGTGTAAAAGCATTTAGTGGTTTTTTTTTTTTTTTTAAGCCAATTACCAGGTTTTCTATTAAAAATCCAGATCACCAGTTTCTCCTAACTCCCATCTGGCACACAT